TTTGGTCAACTAAAACTTATTTAAACTTTCAATTCAATCGATTCAATCATACGAGTCACTCTAATTTTCGGGAATCAAATCAGTCAACCAGTCGCTAAAGTCAAACGAGTCAGTCAACCAGTCATCTCGAAAAGTCAATCGACTCAATCCAATCAACTCAAAATACGCGTTGAATCAAATCAATCAATTCAATCGACTTGATTGGTATACAACCCTGAATTCAGCGGTAAGGAGCGCGATGTAAAGACGGAACCGTTCCGTTCCGTCCCGGCACAGTCTACAATTCAGGCGGCGCGTAGCGGTCGGCGCCGGCTGCCGAGTCGCCGCGTCGCCGCGGCGACAGGATGTTCACTTTACACCGCTATTACTAGAACAGTTGTGAACCGATTTTCTTATTACTTGCACGATGAGATGTGCAATTCAATTCTGGACAGGTAGCCATAAGTAATTTCGCATCAATATTATGAGATATTGGCGAAAAACAGGAGGGGTGGGGCGAAATTCACTCTTCCCCCTCCACTGCGCGTGCTAACATACGTTTGCATATGTGCCATTTTCTTCAAAACTTATGAATGGCCCACTCTAATTTTTTCACAGATTGTTAAGAATATGGTAGGCAATAAAATATATGAAAATGAGCCAAATCGAAGGTGGCGTGTTTTTTGCTATTTCAATTTTTGTGCTTAATAACAGAGTTAAGCAAATTTCAAGGTCATATATTTAAGTCGATGCAATTCTAAACAAATGCTTAAGAAATTACCTAAACAGTAAGGTTTATTTCATTCAAATCAAACAAGTACAACCAAAGTTATGGTCGTTCAAAAATATAAAGATGCAACATTTTGTAAAAATTTGATGCCCTATATTTAGAAGACCTGTGGTCAGAATGTGCAAAAAACATCAATGTAATGTCCAGGGCGACACAGGAACTCGCTCACAAATTTATAATGAAATCGCTGATGGTAAGGTGCAAAACAGCCGATTTTTGTTCGATTTGACGTGGAATGCCCCAGAGGCTAACACGGGCCGCGTACCGACGACACCGACAGAATTGCTAGTGTTATTAGTTGTATCTAGGGCGGATACAAAGTCAAGTCATTTATTAACGAAATTCTTAAATGTATCATTTTTTCTTGCTATATATTGCTCCGTTTCAAAGTCCTGTTTGAGTATGTTTTTGAAATGATCAATAGAGGGTCGGACATTTCTTCGTCTTGCATCATATATTACGTATTTTGCAATTGTTACAATGTGATTTATGAGTGTGCTGTTTTCTTTCCCAAAAATTTTGACTCCAGGGCTAAGCGGTCCTATTTCACTTTCTTTCAGATATTCCGCTATGTCGTTCCATAGTCTAGCGACTACATTGCATGTCAAAAATAAGTGTGCTAGCGTTTCTGGCTCATTTTGGCAAAAAGAGCAGTTATCATTTTCTTCAATCCCTATTATTTTTAGGAAAGTGTTGGTTGTCAAAATCCGCATCACTAGCTTATACTGAAAAGATACGTATCGGCTTGGAACCACACTATTTTTTATATTAAAAACGGAAAAACAGTCAAATGTTTCTATATCTCTATTCCATTTGTTTTCTATTCTAGCTATATCATCGAAATTTCCTCTTTTTTGTTTATTTTGATTTTTAGCAAACAAGTTTGTAAATGTAGCATTACTTAAAAGACATTTCAATCGTGCTGGAAGTACCGGCTGTTGATAAGATTCTTTAAGCCGGTTACTTTTAATGTTCATTGGCAAGCTTAATACTAGGCTTTCATATTCAAATTGCATACAGTTTACATGAAATTTTTCCTTAAACCTCCGCCAAGTCATTACTTTTCCATTCTCAAGGAGGTCTCCTATAAACTTTATTCCATTTTTTCCCAGTTAGCGTATCGTATTACTTTAAATTTAGTCATGTCCGAGTTGAAAATGTTTTCATTACAAACATCCTCATCTTCCACGGTGAAAGACTTAGAGAAGGAAATCCAGGTAGAGACTACGTCTTTCCAGAAAGGATTATGGATTTCCGGAAGTAGCTTTCTGAGTGCAGCTGTACCGAAGTTCCAAATGCAATCCGTTCTAATTTTCTTTGGTATTAGAAGGCACCACGTTGTGTTTTTCCCCTCAATGGTCCTTTGTATCCACTTCATTTTTAATGATTTGACATATGAATCAATGTCAATCATTGCTAACCCATTGTCAGTTAACTTCTGACACAATCTTATCCTCTTTATAGGGTTTCTTTTGGAACCCCATATATAACCAAACAATATTTTTGATAGTTCTCTTACCGTTTTTTCACTAGGATTAGGTAGTGCTGATAGAACATGCGTTATCTGTGGTAGTATCAAACTTTTGGCAACGATTATTTTCCCAGTTAGACTGATATGTCTATTTTGCCACATTCTTATCACTCGTAATATTGCCTCCTGTTTCATCAGCAAGTTTTTCTCTACTATGTTGAAACATTTCGGTTCAAATATAATTCCCAGAAGCTTTATTTCATGCACCCAATTTATCACAATGTCTGGACATATAACATCTACTCGTGAAGTTTCACTTCCAATCCACATCGCATTGGATTTTGAAACATTTGGTTTTAGACCTGAGAATTTGGCAAACCAGCCTAGTTCAGCAAAGACTGCCCTCAAGCTTAGCTCAGTACCGTCCAGAAAAAATACCTTGAGCAAGGTTAATGAATATTGTTAACTTATGGGTTAATTATGATCACATTCTCAAACGACCAATCAAACACAGGAGCCCAGAATAGAGCAATAAATAGAAAACAATTTTGAGAGCCCCAACTCACTGGAAGCTGGCAACGCAACCTTCTTTTGAGACATGAAATCGTTCTTGGGTTTAGACAACTCAAACATGAGCTTCAATTGATCAATGCCTATGCCAAGATACCAATATAGAGACTCTATATTGGTATAATTCCAACATCCCCACAATACTATTTCCTCGCGTCCAAAACTGCCACACGACCTTTCGCGTTCCAGCTCTATAATGCACGCAGTCTGAGCAGCGTCCAACGGCATCCGGTCTCGATACAAAGAGTTGGCGGACGCCCAGAAGCTCCGAACTACAAGGCAGCGGCCGCGCCGCTCAGCGAATATCCGGTCCAGGCGAACGTAAAACAGAGCCGTGCCACATAAAATAGTCCAAACCGCTGGAGTTGAAGCACAACATTGCTTTTCGCGTCAAACATCGCAAAATCCAACGACTCCACAGAATTCGTCGCCATTTATGGGCGTTGTGCACATAGCGGCGCTTATTTACAAATGCAGCTACATTTAGCCAGCGTTCTCTGCTCAATGGAAACCCAGTCCCGCTTAACTGGCCGAAATGTTACATTGCCTGTTTCCGGCGAACTGGAACGGGAATGCCTCCAGTGCTCCTAAAGTCGATTAGGATTATTCCACAGGGAAAGAGATAGGCCCAGCGGCCTGGCAACAACCAGCATTACACCAGTGGTGATCATCGCGCTGGTCAAGGAAGTTGTCGCTGACACCGCTGCTCGGCACACCCAGCATCTTCGGGGACACACGTTGTGCGCCTATTATTTGCCAATGCCATCAATAAAACAATCTTTTTGGCAGACCTTCCTCAGAAACTGCTTTAATAATCAGCAGAGTGGCGGATGGAACCAGTCAGTCACGGATCAGGAGCGGACAGCCCCGGCGCATTGGTCAGCAGTCAGCACCACCCTTCCTCCGCCGGACCGGTCCACTCTCAGCGACCAGGTCACCCCGGCGGACAGCCGCCGGCCGGCCCCGCCTGCCGGCGCCCCAGGCCAAGTGGAGCTAACTCAAAGGTCAGCCAACTTGTGCCAGGTAAACATGACTCTCGACGGCCGGTCGAGATTCTAGCTGAAATAGCATTCCTCCCAGGCAATGCCCGCAGCCGACACGGCTGTTTGCATGTAGCTGCAACCACAAATCACTGACAGGAAACGAAAGTGCCGCAGTTTTAGCACGCCTTTCGCTTCTGTGCCTGTTACTCAAGTTAGTAAGGTCTTAAGGAAATAAACAATTAGCGGAAAGAGGCGTTCGTACAATTGCGACTTTTAACAAATCAATAAATAACTGTTGTAAGTTTGCGCGACGCTTTTTACGCATATCCACATGCCGCAATCCACAGGCCGCAACGAACTGTGTCTGGAGCTGACACACACATAATAGAAGGTTCAAACAGATACGTGAGCGCTTCGAAATAACATGAGCTACAGCAGGCTAAATAACATCAGCTACAGCAGGCTAAATCATATAATAACGTAATAACATTTTCAGCGCAACTGCATTTGCTTCAACGTGTCTACCATACCTCCACGGGTAGGTATTGGGTTCAGCACAGGTGACATTAAATGCCAGACGAATTATGCCAGAACGAGCACAAATTACCGAACGCCGAGCGGCCGTGGGCGGCGGCGAACAGCGGCGGGTCTGTCCCACGCCATTCCGCCATAGCCACAGCACACACGCCAGCCGGGCACGCGATCCGCGGAGCGGCTGGCGGTTCGGCACAGCGCTGGGCGCCGTCAAACACCCGTTTCCGCCCAATGTCGGCGGCTGACACGTCACGGAGCCGAGTGGCGTGACGTCAGCGGCGCGCGCGTGCCGCCGCCCAAACACGGCCCGTGACGCAGTCCTGGACACCACGGCGGTCACCGGCGACCCACGGTCATGTGACGGGGTGGAGGGAGGAGTTCACGGTCTGTGACGCAGTCCTGGACACAAGGCCGACCACTGGTGACCCGCGGTCATGTGACGAGGAGGGGCTCTGGCCCCACTGACCGCCGCGCCACATTCCACCCGGAGATAAAAGGTCGCGTCCAGCGAGATGACGGGCGCGGCTCGGGAGCGGACCCAAACAAGGCCGCCCCGCCGGCGCACCAGCCGCAGCGAGCCAGCGCGGCGGCCGCCTGGTAACCAAACGCTAACAATGACTTCAAAGCGGAGCACTAACAAGATGATGCACTCTGACGGCGCTGACGCACTCACCTTAATGAAGTCGAACGTTTTGGTGAGCATGACGATGCAGGGCGACCGCTCCTTCCACATCATCCGCCAAAAGTCGTTGAGGGTGCGTTCGTTGGGGCCCTGCGTCACGATGTAGGCGTTCGGCTTGAGGAGACTCTGCGATAACAGATGGAGAGGGGGAAGTCAGTGGGAGGTCCAGTCCATCTGTGTAGACCAATATTTCACTGGCCTCAGGTAGGTACAGTTCAATCACAAAAAATGACAAGGAATTCATACCACATGAACGCAAATGATAATGCTCATTGCACATGGCTTTTCACGATACTATGCAACAGAACATGGGAGAATGAGCAGCTGCCGCATTTACATTGACAAACAATAGCTCGGCCAAGATCGTGTGAAAATTCGTGTAAGTTGGAAACAGCACCCGTGTAAGCTACATGTCATAGAGCATACCTATCAAAGAAGTCCTTTAATCTCTCTTTTCCTAAACAAAGCGAGCTACGAAACCGCCTTCTCCATCCGGCGCCGGCCCAGACTTCCATTTATTCAGAGTGAGTCATAAGTGTGAGTGTGGGTGTAGCATAATTGCGGCCGCAGGCGGACTATTTTAGCAGAGTAAGGCGCTACCAATCCACAGGCGCCGATCAATGGTCGACTAGTATCGGCGTTTCGGCAGGACAGCGCGCGGCGGTAACGGCGTGCCTGATACCGGATCGGCGAAACGCCGCGGTACTCAGACCCCACCCACTACCACCTAACGGTGATGGTAGGCCGCGGCCCGACCGACCGCGCCCCGGTCACGAAATAAACCTGCTGTACAAAAACAGTGCCTTGTTCCGCGACTTTTCTTTCGTGAAAATCATGAGTGGAACGAGACATCGCTGTCGCATGTGGGCCCCCATTGTTACGCAAATGTGTCAGATTGCATAATAAAAAAAAAAAAAACACTCTCTATGCAGAGCCAGCGAATGCTTTATCTTTTTGCTGCCGGAATTCGGCTGAAATGTCCAGCCATGCATTCTTCCGAGGATCATTTAACGGAACACAGTGCCACTATGAGGCCTCTCCAGCTCTGTGGCGTGGGTGATCAGCGGGGCCTGTCCTGTCCGTCTCCACCGGTCCCCGTGATCGGATCTCACGCTCGGCAGTCGGACGGCCCGCCGAGGGATGTCCGGCCGGCGCCGCGGGGCTGCCACTCGGCCCGCCGGAGTCGGGCGGACGTGTGCCAGCAAACGGAGCAGAACGGAGCCCAAAAGGCGACCATCAGCATACACTTCCCTTGGGCATCTAGGTCAGCCGCCCAGCCGAGCCAAATGCCCTCAGCTACATGAAAATGGCGCAGATGAACATATACTCCGAAGTCCGAACGTGTTTGTTCACGCCGCTTTTCCATGACGTCACGAGCTGCTCAGCTATTCACGCTGCCTACAAAGACGACATTCACTGTGCCGCCACTCCATCACAGGCGGCTGTAGTGGTGCCATCCGCGGTCTTAGGGACGGTACACATTCAGTACCGGGTCGGAGGCGCTCGTACGACCGGCTCCGTCCCGCCATGCAATCAACTCGGCCCCACCATACAGTCCGCTCGATCACTCTGTCCCATCCTACGGCTGGTTCCGACCTCTTGACCCGAGGCATGTGTGTATGTGTGTTATATGCGTGTATGTGTTACTGGCATGGCCAATACAGGCCATCCAATAGTATAGTCAATCAATTGTCACACATTTCCATTCAAGGTAGCCGAAAAAGTCGGCCACGACCCATGGCCACCGCTACACATCAAACAGCCACGCTACACACATCAGGCATCACGCCAGTGATGCCGTTAACTCACGTCCACGTATGACGCGTTGATGTAGTCGGACTCTGCCTCGTCCACGGGATCGGGATCCGCGGGCAGCATGTCCAACACCACCCGGTTGTAGTCGTCTGAGGGGCGCAACAACACGGCGTCAGGCTCGGGAAGGAACGCTTGATGGCAGGACTAAATACTTAGAATTAACGCCTGAATGGAGGGAATACATCAATGAGCTGGGCATGCCATCAGTAGGAAGGTAATTCTACCCAGAAATCCATCCATTAATGATGCACGAGCTAATCCGTGCAAAAACGGTAACGTGGGTCACCACGAAACTCGTTCATGCAAGATAAAAAATGGCAAACATATGCATCGATACAACAGGAATAGTCCGTATGAGCCGCCGTGACTGACTATTTCGCCACACCTGTCGGAGTCGCCGTGTCCCTGACCCAGTGGTGCGCTCCCCGGGGACCGGCTGGGACCGACCAACCTCGGCGGCAGCGGGTACCCGGCGGTACCCGCCGACCCCACGGCCCGCGCTACTCACAGGGGACGATCTTGTGGTTCTGGTTCTTGGGCTCATTGCACGGTTTGGTGCCGTGGCGGCACGGGTGCGCCTCGATCCGGCCGGCGTGCTGCGAAACGGGAACGGTACCGTCAGCCACATACCCTTCGCGTAATGGGGCTTTAGGGCGCCGACTACAAAGGTCAATTTGCGCCCATGTCAGTCACATACCGCGCACAGTGATACAGTAGGCACACCACACAACACGGTGCTGACACGAGCACAAATGAGTGTCAAACGACACGACACGAGAACCGACACACGTCAATCACATACACTCAGCCATCAACACACGTCTTGAGCTTGTTTTGTGGACAGAAGACGTACCGGTTTCAATTAATATAAATTATTACTACCATGAATCATAATTATGCCGGGTAATTTACAAGTAGCCCTCATCATGTGTGTAGACTGCAATGTCTGGGAACAGGAGCGATCAGCTACTTTGGAAGCGCAGCACTTCTCAGCGCATTGCACTTTCAATATTGGGTCCAGGGATATCGCACGGGATACATCCAGCATCAGCTCCGTATCATACTTATCTCTAAGCACACGAGCAAGGCAAAGTGCCTTTGGCTATGATGGCCTATCCCATGCAATCTGTCTGAGATGCTGGATATTCTGATGGCAGTGATAAAGCTCGAAGACCCAGCCAGAAGAAGCGGCTGATCATGTAAATAAACATGAAAGCTCTCCGCTCAGACTGAGACATTTAGAAGCATCCTAGGATTATTTGTTGGTCTTGTATGAACTGTCCAACTAAGTCCCCAACTTCGTGCAGCGTTCGACTGATTTGTTACATTGATGAGGGAGTTTCAACAAACCATTTTCAATTTAGCATGTCATCACTAATGTTATCATCTAGCTCAATGCCTACTAATGGATTCCATCGAAGGTTCGAATAAGGCAGAATTTGCCGTTGATGTACATAATGTAAGATCGGGGCGGGACATTACCGGCTGGGGAGACTCCAACCGGCCACAGAAATGAGTTTGTCGCGGCCCCTCGGATCCCCACACAGTAACCTATCACGCAACACTACCACAGACGCTGGCAATCGGCCGGCGTGCTTGCATAATCTAGCAGCCAAGATAGAGTGCTCACTTGGGAGGCACACGAAAGCACCCACGTCGGCACGCTAAATGTTCTCTGGAAAGATAATTACCTTAAGCATTTTAAAACGGCGATAAAAGTGGCCACGAGCCATGCACATGGCGTCCGAAACAAACAACGCAGACAAAATGTGAGCCATTTAAAGTAAAAATGGAACCTTATTCTATATCACCCTGAGGAGGTCTTAAAACATAAAAGAGACGTTTGATCGAGCTAATTAAAAACAGTAGGCACCGCACAATATGGTAGCGCGCGCAGCTGACATTTACTTCATGGGAACTAGAATCATATGACGGCAGTTACTCCCAAGTCAGCGAGCTCCTTGTCTGAGCTCAGACAAGCATTGAACTGGATAGATATCTGACGAACACTCGGGCCCTGCACAGACAATGGCCGACAGCCGTCTCAGCAGAGACTCGCGACTGCCGGCGGCAGGTAATCTCGACTGTCCCGGCGCGAGCGGCTCGGCCGCGGCGGCACCCGCCGGGCACCGGTCTCCAGCTCCGAGCCACAGCTCCACCCAGCCGAGCTGTCGGCCGCTCACTTAGTGACAGAGACAGAGCACCCTCGCCGCCCCCCTGACAGCCGGTCCGTCCCAGCGGCCGGGCGCGGGCGGCTGTAGAAACAACACCGCACCGCCGCCGGGGGCCGGCGTCTGAGCGGGCGCGGTGACGCACCGGAGCGGTCCCCGCGGACCGGGAGCGGGCGTCCGTCGGCCGGCGCCGCGCCCGATAGCCACTATCGCAGGCAATGAGCGGCGCCGGCCGGCTCTGACTGGCGCGCACCGCTGCCAGATAGTGGTGCCGAACGACCGGCCCCGGCGGCGAGTTACCTAAGTGTGGAACTACAAGTCGATTCTAGGGCTCTGATTGGTGACTTTGGTCGGGGGATGACGCTTATAGCATGACGTCACTCGCGTACTTGGCCGGACCAACGGCGCAGCGCAGGCGCGCCGAGCCAACCCAGAGGCTCTCAAACTCAATTGTACAGATCCTGCGCATTGAATGGCGAAACTTCGGCGAGTTCGCTTGAGTTTGGAAGCCCCTGCCAGAGGACTGGAGACGGCCGGATTATTTGCTGGACAGTGGGCAGCGCAGATGGCGATTGACGGTGCCAAAAAGATGATAGGGGAAAAGGAGTTGAGACTTTAGCAGTGAATTATAAGCCTGTTGCATAGCTGAGTGGTAAATTGTAAAATACTTAGGGTTTGAAGAGATGCAGTGTAGATTAGCCGACTCAGGGACATTCTGCCGAGTTATGTAAGGCGGAAGGGTCGCAACTCGCAAGTCGTTTGTTTCCATGATTGCCTGATTAAAATGTAAAGCGTATCTAATGTTTAGTTGATAATACAGCGAGGTTGGGCATCTGCTCAATCCATTTCTTCTCTGCAATAGTGCATTCGCCACTGTAATTCATTGTAAGAGGCACTGGGCTGCGCCGCCTGTTAATTATTACGAAACCACCAGTGAATTCATTTGCTGTCGTCACAGTCACTCACAACAATACGAATCGTTCAGTCGTGCGATGGGGGTCCGCCAAATTTAATTGTGCTGCAGAATGCAGACTGGACCGCCGAGAATATAACACTTCCGTCTCCCTGGGCGAGCGGCGCATTGGAGCCGAAGGAAACTGCTTCAGTTTTTTTGTGGGGAGGATACCCATGTTTGAAAATTATGTTATGGAATGGTGTGATAAGGAAAAGGACGGTTTCTTGAATTGAGGGCTGTGGAGAAGAGGCAGATTTTCTCATTTGCTACCCAATGCAACGCGAAAAGACGCAAATGTTGCACATTGGGCTTATAAGTCTAATAAAAGATAAGGGACTTCGTGAATCATGCCTAATTGACCGCGACCAAGTTATTTGCCAATGCAGGTAGGCACTAGGTAGGTAGATACTCATTTGTGAACAGAACGTTCCACCACCCCTCGCCAGAAATTCAATCAGCAGTTGCTTATTAAAACGTTTGAGTGCACCTGACAAGTGACAACCTTTAAAAATGACGTCCTCCCTTTCAATGGTTCGTGCGAAGACACAAAGCCAGAATCAGCCAAGCAATATCGGAATCCATTGCGCAGTGTGTCGGATGTGCCCCCAGTTTTCAATCCACATAGCATAGTACACTGCTAAATGCAGGTACCTACGCTCACCTACACATTAGGTATTCGAAGGACTTAATAGCTCATACACATGGAAGAAACACATGAAATGTGATTTATAGCTGCAGCAGAAGTTTGGCATCCGATGCCTCTTCGCCAAGTTAAGACCATGCCAATCTCGGCCAGTCTGCCGCTGCGCCGGCACTGGCCGTGGTGTGACGTCATCCGGCCGGCTCGGCGCTGGGTAGTTCCACACTTAGGTAACTCGCGCCCCGGCGCCGGGCTGGGTCCTCCGGCGCGGCGGTGACTGCCTGTCGGAGCGCCGCAGCAGACGACGGGGAGAGAACAGAGCGAAGAGAATCACCGTTCGCCACTGACTGGGATAGATACAGAGCAGGCCAGACGTCACTGACCGAGGCCGAGCGACGCAGAGGTGACGCTGAGTGGAACAGGATCAATGCGGCAAAGAAAGCGACGAAAGACGGACTGACGGGGAAAGACAGCCAAGAGAGAGCAGCCGGTGCACCGTGGGGACTTAGGCCATCCTAGCACGCATTAAGTGGCAAGTTAAAGTATTTCGATTTCCACTTTTTTGTTATTCATTCCACGTAGAATTGTCCAGCGCATCCGAATCACATCTTAAATCGTCTGTAAAATGATTGTTTATGCCTCAAAAAACCTCTCAAAGTGTAGCTTCGTCCTGACCAGCGTCGTGCTACCTGCATACAGCGAAAAAGCACACTACAATAAAACGCCCTCTCACTCGTTTCCCTGAACAGCAGGTTATAGTTGCGACATGTTTTCATTATCTTTGACTTATAAGGAAGATGATGGTATGCACGAAAATTTCCAAAATTCATCCAAATGTATAATTTTTGACCGCAAAAGCTTAAGATGTTAAAATGCTTCTTGGTTCAGAGAGTTGACAAGCGAACTATTGCCTTACAAAGTTTGATACGCGGTGTTACGCGTGGAAATGTATATCAAAATGTTCTCCAATAATTTCTGCATCGGGGGCAGCTCTCACTTTTTGCCGAAATTTGCCTAAACCAGTCACTATGAGACGTCAAAGCAGACGGTGCCGCGTGGTTTCTTACGCCGCGCCGGGCCGCGCCGCGGCGGGTTACCCGACCGCAGCACACCGCCTGGGGGTTTCCGGTCAGTATAGGAGTTGGGGAGGGAGGAAAGGGGTGATACCATGTTGACATTATTTTTCTTTCGCCAAATGTTCTTTTTGAACAAAACAACAACACCCTTGCAACGCTGCGTCCATTTTATTGGCTATCGCCGCCAATGTTCACCTTATTGAACTTCAGAACAGAGCTTTGATATAGGTAAATCGAAAAATGCTGTAACTTTGTAAAGTGAGGTTGGAGGTTTTTGGGGTGCTAATCACGAATTTCAAGCTAGTTTTGATCAAGGATGATGTTTTCATGCTAGGCCGGGTCAGGTCAGGCCCGACCAATAGGTGTCTTGCCGGCTATCCATAGAAGGTAGGCGTCGATTACCTTTGACGGCTTCGTATAGCATGTTCCGTTAGGCACCAAAACTACTTAAATCTTCAAATGGGTGTTAAGTTCGAAATAAGCTCCAAGCACTTATCTAGAAAAATCGTATAACTTGAAAAAGTCAACTAAGGTCATCTAAGGTAAATGACCTTGATTTGACCTTAACGTGACCTTAAAATGCAAAGAACAAACAGCATTTCATGCCTTGGAGAGTTAACAACCACAGCAAGACTGAAAACGCGCCGATAATGTGCGCTGATAAGCGCCAAATCGATACCAGCCTGACATGGTCTGGTGAAACAGGTCACAGGTCAAATTTTTTTTTAAGGTCAAGGTCATGAAATTTTAAGTGTGTGAGTAACATTGATCGAATCGAATGTATAGAAAGTTTCGTCGTGATCCGCCACGTTTTGCTTGAGTTAGTATGCGAAAAGTCGAGGACAGAAGTCTGTGCGACCCCCTCCCCCTTTAAGTGCAAGGACTAACAAAGTGCAAAGGTTAAGCCCGAAATGCCTTTTGGTGATTGGGCTAGACATGAACAAATATCTACTTCTAAAACGATTGTAGTTTCGTTCTACTTTTTAACGCTTCCACGCCCACGATGCATTGCTAGCCGAAAACGCTTCAGTGCTAAGTCCGTGGGAGGGGGCGGGGGAGGGATGGGGTCAAGCAGGAGAGCCAACCATGTTGTCAGGGATCATACACCCTAAGCCTAACCATTTGAAGGTGAAATAAAATTAGTTAAGGTAGCGGAGGATGCGATATAAATAAATTCGTGCTAGGATCGATAAAAACCCCACAGTGCGGTGGTGGCGCCACAAAAACAAACGGGGCCCGTGGCGGCGCACCGCACGACGCCAGCCGTTCCGCGGCGGGGTCCCCCGGGACCAGGTGGCAACAGTTCCAAATCGGATCGACACGTGCAGACAGCGAGAGAGAGAGAGAGAGGGAGAGAGAGAGAGAGAGAGAGAGAGAGAGAGAGAGAGAGAGAGAGAGAGAGAGAGAGAGAGAGAGAGAGAGAGAGAGACGCGGTACCGATCGAACTAGGTAACAGACAGGGACAGACACAACAACCATTGGAACACATTCAACATACTCCACTGTGACACCAGGAAGGAGAAATAAGACTGGTCTGGCTAGGTGTGTCGGTGGTAGATACGTTTACCACCCAGTTGGGTACAACGCGGCTTGACAGCTCTGTGAGAGCACACGGGTTAACGACAATGTGGGATACAAATCGCTCCCGTCTCCTCTTGCTCCAGTGATAAGACACTGAAGGCTATATTTGGGCGGTATCGGAACCAATCGCTCAGCCGAATGTACTCGGCGGGAAAGGTTACAGTTCATCCAGTCCATTTCAGCAAGGGTTGGCGTCAGACCAGCATTCCACGAGGCAAGTTTAAATGCATATCCTTGTGGTTCCGCATGATGTATGACTTGAGAAATAATTTTCGAAATGTAAGGGAACTGCTGAGAATCGTGAGCAATTTCAGCTGGAAGATGAAACGTAGTGGTGATAAATAAGTTCACAATGCATGTGAATGGCAAAGTTCCATGCAAATTGCATCACTGACACATCTGACTTACAAGCGGGAGCCAAAGTTTAATAACTCGCTAGGCTTCATTCCCAGTGGAAGATAGAACTCGAAGCGCTGCTGTCTGAGCGTGAAATGTGGGCCGTGTGTCCGGCCGCGAGCGAGGGCTGAGGGAGGACCGCCACCGGCGGCCGGCCATCCGTCTCTGACCGGGGGAAGATAGCGGCCACCCGGGATTGCGGCGACAAAGCAGCCGATACACAAACCCCATTCATTTCCCACAGAGCCGGGCACGACGGCAGATCGATAGAAACAACCAGCTATAAGCGCTTCCTGTCTAAAGAAAACTCGGACAATGAACAACGTTCAAAGCACTAGCGGATCAAAACAGGCGGTCTTGGACGCTGCATAACCCCTAAAAAGTTTCTCCAATTTCCAAAAGCTCGGATTTCGATACCGTACGCACTGCTGAGCAGTTTAAAACAAACTTTTCCTTATCAAAGTTGTTTTGTTTTCTTTTTATTATAAAAAGAACGCAGAACTGTCGATTTCGGGCACTGTGGGGTGGGGTGGGGTGGGGTGGGGTGGGGGGGGGGGGGGCATTTGCCCTAAATCCCCCTGGATCCAGCAGTGGTCCAAAGAAAGGCCAACCACAATGCGATCAGCCTGTAAAGCACTACCATCAGTGATGATAATATTGTAAATGTAAGTGCACTTCTTTGCAGCTTTGCGCATGAAACTCAACGGCAGATTGCAAAAAGACAACATCAGCGAACATAAATTTCCGGCCTGGCCGACTGAAATCAACTAACATGATTAAAACAGCTGCCATTACCATCAAAGGCGATAGCTCTCAGCATTGTGGTTTAACTCGCTAATTTCTATACTTCCAGCTATTTTCCAGAGCCAGCCGCAAAAAATAGATAAACAGAAGGAAACGTACTGTATGCAAATGTACCATTACTGGGGTAATGCAATTTTCAATTACCTGCAAATTGGTTATCATGCAACAGCTCGATAAAAGTAACTGATTTTCCCCAAAACAAACAGGTCCCGCCTGTCCGATTGGAAAAAAAGTTGTAACGATCAGGAATACCTTACGTAACAATGACCGAAGTATTACACAGATACATATCTACAGAGTGGATGTTAACATGTAGGTAACGACTAGGTCTTCCTAGGCATTACATGTACGTAAACATTGTATTGTTTTTTTTTTTAAGTTCAGCAAGAGTGGGATTGAATACTCGGAGATAACATTGTGAGAACTTTCCAGAGAACAACTTCTGGCACCCGAGCTATGCAGCTTGCAACTCAGCACGTGTCGGCTGACTCACGGCGGCAGCAGCTGCCCAGGGCCGACGCCAAGCCAATATTCCCGCCGGTAGATGGCGTTGCCCAGCAGCGCCTGGATACATGCTGTGCCGCATGGCACGATGACAAACTTCGCGGTCAACTCAATGGAATGGAATGGGGCCGAGCTCCACTGTTGTCTGTTAGCGGTGGAGAGACTTGCCAACACATGCTCATTGCTCACGATAGAATTCAGCGGTTCAAGAACAACCAGTTACTGGATGTTGCACGATACCATGAATGAGATAATACGACACCTACTGAGTGATTAGAACCATGGTGCCGTATCCTGTGCTGTTTTAATTGTTCTCTTCCTTAAGCAGTGGTGGAGAAGCAAGCAGCATCGACTTAAAGTCAGTCAAGAAATCAGCGACGATGACACTATGCAGAAATTCATTGATGATAATTGTAACTAACAAACAATTCATTTGTGTCACGGTAAAAACCTACTTCGGCAAAACTCCTAACACCATAAGAGCACACATTCGAAACAAACCATAGATCACCACACCTTAAACATAATATGGACTGAAGCGCTGGAGGCACTGGCATTTAGCTTTCCAAACACTCATCATTATTCAGCTGTCACACCACTTTACCCCTGCAGCGACATTGACTGATGTCGAACGGTGCTGGTCAATCACCGTCAGTGCCTGTAACCAGTTCGACTCTCGCCAAAACCACCCGAGTCCGGCGCCACTGCGGCCCGCCACGGCTCAGGGTCAGCCGGGCGCCGCTCGTGGCGGGCCCATATCCGCCGCCGACGCCACCGCGGCGTCAATTGATGACACCCGCTCTGACGCGGCGTCATCCATCTGGGCGGCGGCGTCATCGCCAACCGGCCGCCGGGCTGTCCAGCCGTCTGTTTGTTTATTATCTGACCAGGCTCACCGATCAGCGGCTCGGCTGACGGACGGGACGGCCGGCTGCGGCGCCAGGTGCGGCCGTCGACACGCGGCGTCGCGCTCACCGCCGGACATGATGGCCAGCCGTCAGCGGCGCCGCCGGCCGAGCCACCGCCGGCGACACGTCGCGCCGCCGCGGCTGGCATCGGCCGACCGCGCTGCTGCCAACTCAAATGCCGCCGGAATCCGCGCGGCGGCGACGGCACCGTATCCAGCGGCCGTTCCGCGCAAACACCAGCTCGGTTCGGCGACCTGAGCGGGCGCGGTGGCACGCCGGCGCCGCCCGATCGTCCGCGCCACCCTCCCTCCTTCACGGAGACTGACTGACACGAAATCGGCACCCAGTGGTGACTGAACTCCAGTCTCCAGACCCCCGGACGGTCCCCGGAGTACCGCCGCCGTCCGGCAGTGGCCGGGTCGTCCCTCCCTCAGGGCCGGAGCGGCCTCGGCTCGGTCGCCGCGGGGACGGTCGGAGCGCTCGGCCGGCCAATGTGGGGCACTGGGCCACCGGCGCGGCCCGGCCGACGGCGCTCCTGACCCAGATCGGGCGGAGCAGCGCCGGCCGCGCCAGCTCCCCTCCGCCGGACATGCCGCACAAAAGACGGCCCACCGCCCGCGAAGGCCAGTGCAGCGGGGACTGAGAGCGGACACCGCGCCGTCGGGGCCGCAGCCAGCGCGGCGGGAACAGAAGGGGTAACGACGCAGAGCAGCAACGCCATTCCGGCATCCTGCGTCATCACTTGTGGATAAAAAGGCCAGACTACTGAATGACCCAGCAATTAGAAGCGACGTTGACGATAGAATCACGCTGTGGACACACAATACTCGCATATCCGTGATTACCTCACGCAGGAGGCGAACTCCTGGAAAGCTACCGCGGCCGGCAAACACCGTACGTCCATGAAGCTACTAATGATCCGCACAAACGCAGCGTGTCCGTGTCCCCGGCAACGGCTAACGAGCGGCCGTGAGCGGCGCGCCCGGAGCCAGCCCGTATCCGCGTCGTCTCACACGGATCCCGATCAATAAGGTAAACAGCGGTGTCGCCGTCAGCCGGCGGATGGCGGTAACGGCACGCCAGCGACCGACCGCCTGTCCGTCAGCCGGGCCGCCGACCAGCCAATGACGAGCAAACAACGACCAACTTTTGGACAGCTTAAATGGATGGCCTGCATCGGAATCGCCATTCGATGGAAAATACACATGAATCGCAGCACGCCCACACATTTTCGGTTCGGCACGAGACTTGAGAGTTCGACTCGAGGCCACCCAATCTGGAGCGGGTCGGGCAAATACTGAAAACACAAACCAGTAAGCTGTCACTCAAGTGATATGCTAACTGGGAACTCACCTGAAATTCGACTTTGAACAGGATGGGATATTTCCTGTGCTGCTCGCAATACTTGATAAAGTTGGCCTTCTCCACCGGCTTTTTGGGAATGGCTCGGATCGCTTTGTCTTCTTCGGCTGTCCGGGAGAACGAAAAACGTCAGTGACTGTTACATGTTACAAGGTTCTGAGTCACATCCTTGAGACAACAACGTCAGGCTAGTATTGGCTTTAAGTTACTCCACACGATAATCGAAGAGCGATACCATGATTTTCTGACAGATAAACCTAGCACTAGGAAAGAAAACACTACAAACCTGGTGCACTACAAGCAGTAAAGCCCTTCGGGATGCGAGGATGAGCGATATGCTTACAGCTTCTGATTAACGTTTAACATGATATACGTTACATCGATGAGCTACCCGATGTTATGCATTTCATTGGATTATGCAATCGGCGCATCACATAAAAGTAGGCATTTACGTCGCGCCAGCGTGGTCATGGTGGTTTTGCTTCAGCAAATCATTAGCCAGATTATGCCTAACAATTAGGTAGTTCAACATGCTAGGTAGCCCACATTTGAATACAAAGGAAAATCGTTTGACGCGGAAATACGATGAGACACAGAGGACCGTAACGATGAATCAATAGGCAGTTGTTCAGCACAACCACAAAGACCGGGTTTCGACTTTCGTAGCAGACATACATAGAAATGTCAATATAACATGTTTGTATCATGCAAAAAAAAAACAGCAACATCAACCTTGACTCCAGAATCTTGGACCCAAGTATCCTCGGTGATAATTGAGGGAACTTGTGGAAAGCAATCAATGAAGGTATGTGTGTTTTATTTCTCGGTTACATTTATTCCGAAAGGCTCCGTGATGTAATCGCGCGAAATACACGCTGCTTACATTCCAGTGCATAGTCAAAGCATTCACCGTTTTCCTCACCGTCATTTTCCACAACTGTTGCATCACATTTGCGCAGTGGACCATTACATAGATCATCTATCAATTCTTGGCGCTAAACAATGCTGTATTATTAGTGCGTTTCACCAACACAACGATTTTATGCGGGTAGAACATATGGAAGGTTGTAAACGCGAGCGCACATCACAATTCTGATCTTCATTGCAATTTTGCCATCACTGAGTGGTGGCATTTTCCATAGAACCCTGCGTTCGGTTTCAGACGCTGGGTCGGAAGGCGTATCAATCCACCGAAATGATTAACTAGTCTTCTGGAAATCTGAAGGGACCCGCAGACTTTATATGGGAGTAACTCATGTTTTGACAATCCCAAATATGACAGGGAGTAGCCAGCCCTGGATCGCTTCGGTGCCACAAACGATCTTTATTCTTTGTTGTTGCATATCATTAATGCAGCATACAGCACTTCTAACGGAACTTTACCAGCACCGCTGTGCGCCATTCTGTGGCCATCTCACACAGCCACGTCATGGCACAGGCACTTAGGAAGAACGGCACCAGCCTTTCTGTTTTGGGATGACGCCAAAACGGTGCTACCCGGAACCCGGCACCTCTCACAGCAGCTGACTACCAACTACAGAGCCCGGACATACGAGTGGGTAGGTGTGTGCCGGTGTGTGCTGCCGCGGTCCATCATACGCCCTGCAGACGTAACATTGGGTCGCGTTTCGCGACAAACGACGAGCCCAGGGCTCAGGGTACAGTGGGCGCCGCGTGTCATCGCACGGCCTCGTGGGCCGACCCCGGATATTTACCGCCTGTCAGCGTGGCTAGGTTCAGCCATTATCGTTTAGAAACATGACTGAGCCTTGCAGCGTCTGTGTCCATGGAGTCTAGCTAAGTCAACAGCATTCACACTTCACAAATAGGGCTCGGCACACAGCCGGTATACGTCCATTCACGGGCACTACACCAGTCGTCATCAATAGCCGATGACGAATTACGCAGTTTCAATGGTCCTAAGTCATTGGGAACGCTGTAAGACACTTGGGAATGCCACACCGTTAGGAAATTGCTGACTGGAGGCCTGGAGGGGGCGGGTGTTCTTTATTTCATTGCTTTTCACACATCGCAAGCAGTCAGAACTTGACTCAAGACATTTCTCACGTTTGAAAAATAAAAAGTAGCTTCTGAAAATAAACGGTGAGTAAATTGAACGCAAGCACTGTCGTGTGATCGTTTTTACCCGACAGTCTGATGGCGTCACCTCACTGTCGACACCGACCCGCACGGTCCCTGCCGACTGCCGGGGACGACCACTCGTCTGACGGCTCACCTATGGGGATCAGGCCGCTGTTGAGCATGCTCAGCTGGATTTTGCCCGGTATCGAGGTGAGCGAACTGCCCGCAGAGCCGAAGTAGCGGTGCCGCCGCTTGGGTTTGGTCTCCCCATAGCGTTGGGCCGAGCGGGCGCGCCGGCCGCGCTGTCTCTGGCCGTCACTGCCGGACGCGTCCGAAGCGGAGCTGCGCGCGTCCAGACGGTCCACACTGTGACCGCGCACCTCGACCATGGCTGGCTACACTCGATCCGCACCGCACCGCGCCACACTGCCGAGCCGAGCGCGGCCACCGACTGACCCGCCGTCGACCGACGGCTCGGAGTCGGCGGCGACCGACGGCGACGGCGCGGGCGCGTGCCGACGCACCGCCCTCGTCATCAGAGGTCGGGGACGACTGGCACGCAGACCACCGGCTCATCATCGGGCGGTAATGGACGCTCGGCACGCCGCCGCGGTGCCAGGTCACATCGCCCCTGGAGCCAGGGATCAGAAGGTCAGCCGCCCGTACAGAGCTGGGACTGGCTAGCCTGTAGACGGAGCTTCGCCGATCAACTCAGCACAAGTGGCACAGATAGGACATCCCCGGGGGTCGGCGAGCCGGACAGCTGCCTCAGCCACCACTGGAAATGCGGAAGGGGCGTGCCAGTTCCCACAAATGTCCGTGCAGTCTCCACACTGGCCTCGGAAAAGTGAGAGACTGCACGGGACCTTGGGAACGAGGTGCAGTGTTTCGAGGTGAGTGCACGCGCCACGAACCGCCAGGTCTGGAGGCACTCAACATCGCGTGGCACACGGGCATCCGTCCAGAAAAACGGCCTCGCACGGCCAACGTACACAACTGGATAGCTGCCGGCATTTGCGGCATGAAAGCCGCTCCAAGTGCCAATATGCTGACGAAAGGGATCCTCACCCATACCTACTTCTGAGTTACTGCTCGAAGTGAAAACATCGGTTAAATGTCAAGATAGAACTACACCAATCCGCCGAGGGATGCTCGCCAAACGGACAGCTTTTGTATGTGTCCACGATCATTAATTTCTACCCCCGTGAAAAATGTGAAACGTTAAAACCGGGTCGCGTATCCATGAAACATCGATCACAATACGAGGAAATGATTTAACCACATACACATTCCAACATTTGCATGCTAATATTAAAACGTACTATTTCTCAGAAACTTCATGAGCGAGCAGCCAACCCGTGATTTGGTCGAAGCATCGGTAAACTATAGCATCAATGCTGGCATTTGATGCACCGTTTCGCAAATAACTATTTTTGACTGAACTGTCGGAGTGCTCAGACTCATATGACGTGAAATGAGCGTATATTTTTACATGACAATCATTAAACCAGCAACTTTTAGCAACAATTGCTACCCAGCATCAATAACAACAACGTGCTAACTAACAACAATTTAGCTACTTGAGTCGATGGATAGTATGATTAGCGATGACCCAGAGAGCAAATGAGCAAAAAAAAAAAACTAACAAATAACACAGTCATACCGATAGCCGGAGAAACCGTATCTTTCCGCACTCCTCCCCCTCCCTCCAATAGGAGATCTCGGCTGAAATTATACTCAGATACAACGAGAATTAAACAAAAATTATGTTTCAACTTGCAATACCCACGCACCACGCAGTACTGTCTGCAGAATCCTGCACAAGAGCTGCTCCTAGTGCAGTCGCTCCTTGAGCGCACCGATCGGCGTTAGACCGATGAACCGCCAGGCCCCGCGGAACGAACGACAGACGGCCCCGCGCCGTCCGGCCTGACGAGGTAGACTGTGCCGCCGAACGCCGGAGTCCTGCGGTGCAGCCTATCTACCCGCCAGACGCGCGACGGGGCGGGAGAAGGCGGCGCGGTAGCTCCGAGTCCGCATAAGCCGATGGCGATGCGCCACCTCTTATCAATGATGACGACGAGTTGAGGTTGTAGGGCGCCCGGACTGCGACGGTCATCGGCGCGCCACCTCTACCGCAATTGATCACAAATATCTATATCGCCATCAAATTCACCATAAGCAAAGTTGCTGGACCCTACACAAGCAGTTGCGATGTCATCGAATACCAGCCTCAACTTAACATTTCAATAGATATACCCTTCATACTCTTGAAGATTTCATGCTCTTAAATAGCTGCTCTTCGTTTGCATAGGTACAAATGTCAAATGCAAGTAGAGGTTTTGAGATCGACCTTCGCCGAAACCATTACAGCGCCATCAGTCATAAAAGCAACGGATGCTAATTAGTAGGACTTAGCCGGACGATTAGGTTCAGGACCACGTTCGAATTCCAGTGAAGCGGCAAACGACGGCGAAGTAAATCTGACAAGACTGGCCATGCTCCTGGCTGTCAAACTCCTCTTAGAATAACGCGGGAGGAGGGGAAATCGCAATCTTATAATGCTGCTTCGTTAAATCAAATACAGCATGGTGCAAAGCGCTGTACACTGCTTCCCAATAACCAGCTAAAGTTACCGCTAAAGCCATCTACAGAGGACAACAGCTTCAATTCCAGGTGTAGCCAAAGCCATGCCTTTCTCTTCCCGCCCGCAAATCTCCGAAGAAACTTTGCCTGGAATTGTACGAGTTGGCGCGTTGTATTGCAGTTTCCCGGCGGTCCGTTCCCCCGACACCGGCGCCGCCCTATGTTTTCTGTCGGGCTCGAGGGCAAGCGGGCGGGAGGGCGATGGGCTTCCGGTCGACGGTAGCGGCCAAGCCAAACCGGCCGCTCCGGCGCGGTGTGCCCAGAGCCGAACACAGACCGTTTCCGACCGCCAAACACAGCCGACCGGCGGCGCTGACACACCGGCCGACATCCCGGGGACGGCGCGCTCACACAGAGCGACTGTACACCGGCGGCACGCTCCACCAGCGCCGCCCAGACGGCTACATTCCACCGGTCCATGGCTCGGAGCATGTGCCAACACCGAACTTAAACAACGGCCGACACCGGCGCGGCGTGTATATGCGACCGGTCACAAAAACGGCCGCGGCGCGCCGGGCGGCCCGGATTCCGCTGGTTGGCGCGCCGGTTCTGCGAACAGCAGCAGTCACCGGAGTGGGCGCCCGGCCGGCCGGCCCGGTATGCCGTCCGGATGTGCAGCGGCGCCGACTGTGTGCGTCACTGGCGCGCGCCGGCGCGGGCCGGCCGACGCCAGCGGCGACCCACGCGCGCACGGCGTGACCGTCCAGGCGTGCCCGCCGGCCGGCCCACCGCGCCGTGACAGAACAGGGAGAGGCGATATTTCACTGGTGCATTATCGACCTGACGGTGCATATTACCTACCACAGGTGGTTAGTCCGGCAGTGAAGTGGTTGCTACAATATGTGGGCCAAGTTGCAAGGTAATAACTCCCAATTTCCTATTCACGTTCATGATTATTCAATGTAGTTGACATATGAGTCATGCGCACGAAATAGAGGGAAGCAGCAACCGCTACGGCTAAAAAATATATTGTCCCATCTTTGGTAGTCCACACGTTACACATACCATCCAGTAATCAAAACGATGAGATGAATCACAAACGTTCGCAGATACCTACATGCCTAATGGTTGGTGGAAGGTCACAAATTTAGTACTGTAGTTACTTCATTCCAGCGCCAATAGCCAATGTCCCTCTCAGCTGGCTAGAGACGCCATGTAACGCTGCTTATTTGCGCTTAATAATTGCTTCTTTGCGTTGCATGCGCTTGCTAAGCTAAGCAACAATTAGTTGCCGTCTTAAAGTTGGGCATTATCAGCCAATGCAGCATGAACCTGGACGGATCCCATCAAGGTGCCTACGATAAGCTACGAAAATGTCCGTTCCTTCAATTGATACAAATAGGCACCACGCGTAATGCAAATCATTAGAAACGCATATACCCTGATGCATATCGATCCTTCCGAATGTCAGGCTAGAAAATTTATTAAAAAAACGATTTTCAATACAAAGAACAAATTTGAATAGCAGAGGATTTTGAGGATTTATTGCCCAATATTCAGAAGCTATGCAAGGACATTCAGGGAAAACATTGCATTGCATTCTTTGGTAAGTCATGTAACCGAAAAGCGGCAGAGCGATACATTTAAATGTCAATAGCGTTTGTTGTTCCAGTGGAAGCACAAGCAGCTTCTGGTCAATTGGGAGGTGTCAACTCTGCCCCGTTCACTTTGGCCGCGCAAATCGTCCGAGACAAATTTTCCAGCTCAGTTATTATTGGTGAGGAAGTACATTAAAATTAGTAAGAAAACAAGTATGATGATCGCACAATACACGATTGGAACGCTTAAATGAAATTCCGAGCGATTATGGAATAAAGTTACATTTAAAAAGCGTAAAACATAGCCTAACCTGGGAAGAAACACATTTCCGTGTGTCACGAAACAATGGCGACGGGCCGGAAACCCTGGTAAGCCTTATTCGAACGGCCGGGAAGAAAACCATAATTGGTAACCAGTAACTGGAGTTGATGCCAGTTGTTAAGAAGAGCTAAAACACGGGGTGGCCACTTTGCCCCGGGTGGCCGCTTTGCCCCGGTCTCCCCTACGTTGCAGTCATGAGCCGGCCCGTGTGGCGATTCTGCAGAACCACAGGTACATCAACCGGCCGCTAGGGGCGCCAGTTCCGACCATCGCAGGCACATTGCACACTCACACAAGGCTATAGAACTCCAGGTAAGGACACCAGCCGTTTGACCTTGAACGCCGCCGGCCGGCCGATGACGTCATTGGAGGCAAGCCGGCTCGGCGGACACATAAGGCGAATGCATAACGGAGGGGCGTTGGAACGCTGCGGGAGCGGGGGAGATATTTTAATGTGGTTGCATACCACCATTGTTATGTTGATTGATCTATAGACTGCATTCTTTTAAACCTCGATGCATCCTAGGCCCATGGATGGTGCGCACATTGTAGAAAGATCACCCCCTCCGAACACATGTTGTACTCGTGCAGGCGTACGGCATAACCATCAGAGGTAATGCCTGAACGTAGGAAAGCATAATTAGTGTGTCATATTGTTTAGGAATATAAAATCATAATGGAGATTATTGAGGATATGATCTCTACATTACGGGAATTCACTAATTACTACGACCCATAGGGGCACCGCCGGAGCTGTTGTTTTACCATCGGTCCCAGGCAACTCCAGGGAGCTGCAGTACCCGGCGGCCAAAGCGGCCACCTCGTCGACTTGCAGGTCCTGTGGGATTCTGTGATGCTTCAGTGCTTCACCCACAGAAGCACGGGTATAGTAGTAGGATGTGGGGTTAGGTGTCTGTCCAGTGTCCACCTCTTCCTTGTAGGTACAACGTAATACAGCGCCTGGTCCACACCCCGAGCTTAACTAAAAACGTCTTCAAACCCCACCAGAAACCGATGGTAAGGTGAATTTAAATCCAATAACTCATCTCTGTCTGCCCGCCTAAATATACTACACATGGTACGGCACCCGGCCCTGACGCAGCTTTGAGCCGATCGTGACATTTTCGGCTTTCCCGGCCCAAGCTCGATTAGAAACGTTCTCCTTCCCCAGCCGATTGCTGATGTCAATTAAAATTCAATACCTCATCTCTGTCTGCCCGCCCATAACCCATTCATTGCACACCGTTCAGCGCCCGGTCCCGCCAGAAGTATCCTAGCGCGCTGAGCAGTTGCCTCCAGCCGCGTCATCCCGAGGCCCCGCGCGGCTCATAACTGAATACATTGCGCGAATAGCCGTGTCGCCCCCCTGCACTCACAGTTCCAAGGACTTGGGCGAG